TTGTATTAGTTTTTTTCCTAATATTATCTGTTGTGTTTATCTACCTTCTTCTGGTATAAAAATGTCCGAGAAATATTCCATATTGTGGGACATCCACGTCCAATGAACATGAAAACAAAATAGATGAAATATGTTGGAAAATATTATCATGTGAAAATGTGTATATACTTTCTAGCAAAGCTTTACCTCATAATCAAACCCATTAAATATTTGTTCTCCATATACATTGTCTACTCTGATAAGATTTAACATACTTAACTTCCTCATTGCAATCCTTGAAAATTATATTTCAGTGCTTTAACTTCTAAAGGGTTTTCTACAATTAAATGCATTTGATAATGTCACAAATAATTGTACGAATTTCAAGATAATCCACTTAAAGTTGAATTGGATTTGTCATAGGTATGACCAATTTATAGTTTCTGCTTATCATTTAAGTAAGACAATTTTAACTGAAATTTGATACGTGCAAGTATTATGGAAAAAAACGTATGTCATGTTCTTATTTGGGTAGGTTTTAATGTTATTTGATAGAGTTATGCCCCTTGGACTCACAACATTTCAAACAGTTCATATTTTCAATTTTGTCCCCGCGGAGACATTCATGTCTTGCTAAAAGACCTGATTTTGTCTGAATCGTTTGAAAGAAATTTATTAAGACACTCCAGAGTTTTCGTACAGCTTCTATATATATATATGTTAAAATTTACTGTGAAAGCTGTGTTGTCGTTAAATAAGAATTCGAGAGCAACATTATTCTTGTGAGTGTCATTTGGGTCATGTACGTTCTAAAAGTATAGAGTTTCGAAAAAAGAAGACTTTTTTTCCAAATCTCGATAATAAAGTATTTAATAGATTCATTGCATAATCACATTGGTCAACGTTTATGACATACAAAGGCTAAAGTACAAGCATTAACGACAACAGAACAGCGAATGTGCAGACAAACAGTGTGTTTCAGTCTTCCTACTTCAGTACCACTTTAATATGCTATCCCTCACACAATATCATAGGTATAATCTATATATTATAATCATTGTTGAGGTCGTAGCAATATTAAATTGTAGTTTTGGAATATATGTTACAGTGTACTTAATAGTGCAAACCGAAGTAGAAATTGATTAAAAAGTGAATACAACACATATACTACATATATTTATATGGCATGTTGAAAGACAGGGATATAAGTAAGTCACCTATATTTCGAATCATCACTGTGGTATCGACGTCCGCCCTGAGAACAATATATCTATCATGGACACTTAAACCATACAAGTTTATAGACACTAGCGCAGGTGGGTTTGATATATTTATCAACGGACAAGCCATAAAAACACAATCAGACTGTATAGCTCACGAATCACTATATGCCGACCCAATCCTTCACAACACGTCTAATCCTATCGAAAGGAGTGCCTGGAAAACATACGAAAATATGTGATTTGCAAATGCCTGGAAAACGTCCAAACGATTGTTCATGTTGTTAGAGAAGATTCAAGTGCAGCAGACCATATTCTAGTGTTGACTTCACAAAATGAATATTAGTTTTAATGATTACAGGTATGCGAATTGCTTTCATAACTAGTAGAGGATATGTAGGTTACCTTTTATCAATATACGAGACCTGATAAGTTGTGAGCCTTGTGTGGAAGAAGTTAAGCAGTGATATCCTTTTTTAACCCTACAATTCCCTGATCATTTAAGCATGTTTACAGGAGGATTGGTGTCAGTTGGTCAGTTTATGTCGAAGACGTAGCACTCTAAAATAAACAAGACAAAGGACTTTTGCCAAATGGACAAAATCGCTGCAAATGCAATGATTCAATATTTACAAGCTCTAGAACCTAAGGATATCCATACTGATATGGTAGCAACACAAGGGGAATGGTACCCCTTAGTATGCTACAGTGAAAAGGTTGATGACGGAATTCAAGCGTGGCAGCGCCTTAGGGATTACACCCGTCCTGGAAGGCCTGTCACTGTTGCAACTCAAGAAATGGCCAATTAAGTCAATGATATTGTCATGGCTAATAGGATGGTTACAGAGAGATGTAAAACCAATACAGTTGGGAAGAGTAAATTCTATTCTTACGGAAAATCTTGCAATAAGAAAGCTCTTACATCCCGTGTGGACTTTTTTGCGTGCTAATTTGAACCTTTTAGAGGCAGACCTTGCTAACTTTCCCCAGAAGTTTGTGAATATGGATGAAACGTTGGTCCGTCATTCCACCCCAATCGCAAAAGAACAGTTTAAACAATGGAAGCACCCTGGTTTACTCCCAAAACAAGACAGAGACATGTCAATTAGATGGAAAGGTTATGACCTTGATTTTCGGAGATGCTGATGATATTCTGATGGTAGATTATCTGCATATTTGACAAAAAATAAATGACACATATTATGCATCACTTCTTAGGTAGTTAAGTATTAAATTCAAGCGCCGCGGAAAACTCGGTAAAGGTGTATTGATCCACCAGGACAATGTCCCTGTTCACAAGTCTCTCATTGCCATGGCTGCCATTTACGATAGTGACTTTGAATTGATACGGCATCCGCCTTATTCGCCTAATCTGCCTCATACGACTTTCCTTGTTTTCCAAAACTGAAACAGGCCAAATCCAGTACCCATTTTGATGTCTTCATACATGCAGTGGAAGATATCTGGACAATCAAGAAAAGGACTTCTTTAAAAGCGTCGTTGAGGCCCTTAAACATCGCTCATCGAGACGTATAGATACTGAAGGGGATCAGTTTGAAGCATAATGCAAAATGTCTGAAATAGTGAAAACCCTGAAAAATGATGCTCTCAATTTATCAACCAGCCTCTACTATCATAAGCTGTATCTAAATTTACACATTTGACACTTCTGACCAGCAAGGACCGGTTAGAGCCATAATTTGTTAATATATATGATTAACTGTAGACTGTATCGTCACTCATTGGATATCCATTTGTTACACATACGGCTGCGATTTCGGTTTTTGAAAATTATATCTGTTACAAATACTTCATTTCGGCACGATAACATACAAGTTATCTCCCTTGGAGTTACAACAATTCATTGTATTCTTCGCATTCTATCTGAACACTAACCATGTAAGCATGTGAAACGAAATTGTATGGGCTTTATGTAGTTAAATATAGCGTGGAATGGTTCATGTTTTGTTAACCCTGACGAGATAATTTAGAAACAATATGTTATGTAACTGTGGACAGGTGAAATAGATGCTGGGGAACATGTAGTTAGACTATGTCAAGTTGATCTGAACAGGTAAGATAGCTGATGACGTAGGTAGAATATGTAACGGTTCCGTGGACAGGTAAGATAGCTGATGACGTAGGTAAAATATGTTATATAACCATGTCAGGTAAGATAGCTGATGACGTAGGTAGAATATGTAACGGTGACCTGATCAGGTAAGATAGCTGATGACGTAGGTAAAATATGTTATATAACCATTTCAGGTGAGATAGCTGATGACGTAGGCAGAATATCTCATGGTAACCTGATCAGGTAAGATAGCTGATGACGTAGGTAGAATATGTAACGGTGACCTGATCAGGTAAGATAGCTGATGACGTAGGTAAAATATGTTATATAACCATGTCAGGTAAGATATCTGATAACGTAGGTAGAATATGTAATGGTATCCTGGTCAGGTAAGATAGCTGATGACGTAGGTAGAATATATAATGGTTACCAATACAGGTAAGATAGCTGATGACGTAGGTATAATATGTAACGGTAACCTGGTCTGGTAAGATAGCTGATGATGTAGTTAGAATATGTAATGGTAACCTGGACAGGTAAGATAGCTGATGACGTAGGTAGAATATGTAATGGTAACCTGGACAGGTAAGATAGCTGATGACGTAGGTAGAATATGTAATGGTAACCTGGACAGGTAAGATAGCTGATGACGTAGGTATAATATGTAACGGTACCCGAGACAGGTAAGATAGCTGATGACGTAGGTAGAATATGTAACGGTTCCGTAGACAGGTAAGATAGCTGATGACGTAGGTAGAATATGTAATGGTAATCTGGACAGGTAAGATAGCTGATGACGTAGGTAGAATATGTTACAGTTCCGTAGACAGGTAAGATAGCTGATGACGTAGTTAGAATATGTAATGGTAACCTGGATAGGTAAGATAGCTGATGACGTAGGTAGAATATGTAATGGTAACTAGATCAGGTAAGATAGCTGATGACGTAGGTAGAATATGTTACAGTTCCGTAGACAGGTAAGAAAGCTGATGACGTAGTTAGAATATGTAATGGTAACTAGGTCAGGTAAGATAGCTGATGACGTAGGTAGAATATGTAATGGTAATCTGGACAGGTAAGATAGCTGATGACGTAGGTAGAATATGTTACAGTTCCGTAGACAGGTAAGAAAGCTGATGACGTAGTTAGAATATGTAATGGTAACCTGGATAGGTAAGATAGCTGATGACGTAAGTAGAATATGTAATGGTAACTAGGTCAGGTAAGATAGCTGATGACGTAAGTAGAATATGTAATGGTAACTAGGTCAGGTAAGATAGCTGATGACGTAGGTCGAATATGTAACTGTAACCCGGTCTGGTGAGACTGTTGATGACAAAGGTAGAATATGTAGCGTTAACCTGAAGAGGTTATACAGTAGATTACGAGGTTAGGATATGTATTTGTAACCTTGAAGATAAAGCAGAAGAAGGCGTATATAGAATATATAATTGTTTTCTAGACAAAAAGCCACTTCCAGTCAGGTAAGAGACGAAGGTCGCATGTGTTATGGTATGACTCATGTAAACAATGTAGGCTATCTTTCTCCTACGACTGTCTAGATAGTCAACAGTTTATATCTTACAGCAGAGCCCGACGTCTTTCACCAAGCTAACTTAATGTTCTGCGACAAAGGTAATTATATAAAATTCTCATTTTTCTCGGCTCGGCTGATTGTAGATCTATAGTAATCTGATTTACTCAATCGTCCGGCATTTGTTTTGTGTCTATAGGTGTGTAAGGGAATCCTCCAGAACCTCTATCAGTTCCAGCGCGGTTATGGTGAGAGTTTCAAGTCGTGTATTGACCTGTGTTAACGACTCTACAAGATTTGATGGATATGATGATGGATACAGCAACCTTTTAAAGAACAGTCTAGTCATTGATTTTAGATTCTGTTTAGCATTGTAACCAATACATAACCCCATCTGACATTGAATATCGTATTCACATGTACGGTAATGAACATTTGGATTAGCAGTTAAGTGATCGCTGTCAGAATAAATATCACATGAAGGCTCGATATTGTCTACATCATCTAAATCAATCATCTTTAAAGAAGAATTTACTAATAGAAAATGTCCTTCCTTAAAATCCTTGATGCGAAGCGACCCCAGAGGAGAATATTCTAAATATTGCAGAAATTTTGCCAGGTTTATAGCTCGACGGAGTTTAGCCTTCATTGGTAAAAATTGAAGATTGTCCAATACAAATCTCTCTCCATATTCATATATAGCTACTACTCCGTGTTCAGACATATCTGTGCTGTCACTTTCCTCACTACGTACACAGTAACCTAGCATCTGAACAAATCCCGGATGATCAAGTTGTTCAAGAAGGAGAATTTCTTTCATAAGTTTCATAGTTGGGAAAACAAAACACCTTGACCTCTGAAAAGTATCCCACTCCATTCCTTTTTCACGAATTCCCTCCAAACATTGTCTCACTTCTTTTTGATGACGTGTCACCATTTTTACTGCTACTGGTTGACCTTTGAACTTTCCAAGAAATGCTTGTTTTGAAACACCGTGTCCAACTTTCTTTATTAATTTAATCTGATTAATATTTGTACAGTTGAATACATATTTCGCTTTGGTTACAACTTGATTTTCGATTTTACTTCCGATTTTATCTAAACCTTTCAAATCTCGCAAATTCCTGGCGTTGAAGTACCGCACAGCGAGATCGTTTGTGGCAAGAGTTTCTGGGGATTCATCTGATAAGAGTTTGTTTAGCATTTCCGATAGCTTGGTCCTCTGTCTGTCTATGGCTTCATACTTCCTTAATACCGAGTGTAGTAGCAGCGTAGAGTTATGACTTTGTTCTAACACCCGAGGGAACACATCGGGAGGAGTCGCGTGTTTTCTGAATATTTCAGTTTGGCAGGCATTGTCTAGCATCTTTAACATCACAGCAGTATACAAGACAAACGGTAACAAAAATATTGAGACCTTTACGTATCGCTTTTCCATGTTCGTCAACACCGGCAGATCTCCAACAAATCGATTGTGTGAAAGGGGACGACGCGACGTCATCAGATCTGGAAAGATTAAAAGAAAAATGAATTCAAACACAAAAATTATTATATGATGTTTTGCACTTCATGGATATTTTGCTTGAAGAGCACCACAAAATTAATACCAACTTGAGACCTGATTTCAGTGCCAAATAAAACACGATGTATATTTATATTGCATTATTTACTATCAAAACATCTGTAAATCAAGACTGCCTTCCAAAGTTCCAAAGAGCAGTTTTGAATTAAATTTCATCTCACTGATAAGACAACTGACCACTCACAAAGTTACCTTGTTTCACTGTTTATATCCGACAGATGTCTGGTTAACTAACTACATTTTGATGTCAAACTTAATACTCCTATACAATTATTTCATAATTGTAAAAATATCAATGTTCACAAAAGGGAAGTCTATCTTTTCATTGATTTGCAACCCACTTTTAAGACCACCCTTGTCAAGTCCAAAAAAGTTGTCTTTAATATAGGGACTTGGCACAAATCCCCAAACCACGGACCAGATATATGTATCATTGGACCATGGGTCGGGAATTCGACAGAAAATCGATCGTCCAACCTTATAATAAAAGTGCAGAATAACGAACCTTTTAGGAAAATCTTGTTTTGATTATGACAAATCTTCACAAATATTACAGCGTATAAGTGTATGATTTAAACTGACAGCCCCGTGTAGAGATATGTAAAGGCTACTACTCAACTGTTCTCATATACAATGTTGGTTAACCGGTAATACTGTTGAATATGCAAAAAATATTGTAGAAATCTAGTAAAGAGTTCATTTCATGCTGGCATGGGTATGGATATCCTAATATTGTCTTATTGTTACTGTCTCTCACACGTACTCTTACACACAGACAGGGATATCGCCCAGGGACATCTGGCTGCTTCACAGTAAGTATACAAACTACAGGTATATAACGCTGGGTGAAGCGCGTCTGTGAGAATAACTAGTAATATAGCAATACACGTTTTCTCAAACCAAATGGAAAACAATCGGATTCTTTCAGGCAATTTCCTTTAGACAAATTACTTCTTCCGTGGTACATTTAAGTTTAAAGACCAGACTGAAATAATCTAATAATTCAGGAGGGAAAAAAATCGACGGAAGAGCTTCATTTCCACAGTAAATGGGTTTTCTATCGTCGGAAGGGAAAACCTGCCTAGCCAACTTTAATTTGATGTCCCGGGGAATTTTATCAAGATATCTGAAAACGTTAGAGAAGGTATTTTGATGTATTCCCGTTGGGGAGTTTTAAACAAAATAATTTGTTTGTCTTTTTCAAATTTGTTTTGTCAAATATAGCATATACATTGTACAAGTATAAGTGAATTGCTTTATTAAAATCGCGAAGGGAAACGTTTGTGTTGCAGACTATTGATTTCTCGCTAAAATGTATACTGGGAGTTGTTACCTAAACTCAATGTGAGAAGACAAAGTTTACACATTTTTAAGTTTTCACCACCTAAAACCATTTTTCTTTTTTCACAATTTGTTATTTTGATTCCAAAGATATGCTCACAGTATATGCAAATGTAAAAGCGATCAATGCAATCACCCCTGTACCCTTTTAGGGTCTAGGGCAGGTATAAACAGCCTTGTAACAGAGATCCAATCTTCATTATCTCGTGTGCTCTCTTTATTTTCATTATGTAAACATAAATGTAACGACATTAATGATCCCCTCTTCAACCTCTAACCTTCTGTCTTTAGTTCCATTATCACAGCCTTTCGACAGTAAAGGTGTTCTCTATTCCTTCTTGCTATCTTTTTATTTTCAGTTAATAAACCAACTTAACGATATTTGTGGTCCCATGTACATCCTCACATCTTCTCTTTACTTTAGTATGTAAATCTAACAATTCTAACGTTACCCTCTACACCCGTTCATATATTCTCTTTATTTCACTATGTAAACCTAACGACTTCCTCTATACCCTCTCATCTTCTCTCTTTGTTTTCAGTATATAAAGCTAACGATAGGAGTGTCCCCTTTTACATCCTCTTATCTTCTCGAGTCATTTCACATAATCAAACCTAACCATAATAGTGGTCCTCTCTTCATCCTCTCACCTTTTATCATCGTCTTCAGTATGTAAACCTAACGATATATGTGGTCCCCTCTACACTCTGTCAATTTCTCCCATCTTTTCCAGTATGTAAACCTAACGATATATGTGGTCCCCTCTACACCCTCTCAATTTCTCCAATCTTATCTCAACTCTTTCCAATATCTAAACCTAACGATATATGTGGTCCCCTCTTCACCCTCTCAATTTCTCCCATCTTTTCCAGTATGTAAACCTAACGATATATGTGGTCCCCTCTTCACCCTCTCATCTTCTCTCATCTTTTCCAGTATTTAAACCTAACGATATATGTGGTCCTGTCTTCAACCTTTCACCTTCTCTCATCTTTTTCTAGTATCTAAACGTAACGATATATGTGGTCCTGACTTCACCTTCTCTCATCATTGTTGATACTTAACCTTTATAATTACTTCTCGTCTATCTTTCAGTATGTAATATTCAGGAAAACAGGTATTCCATCTACAATCAACTATCTCGTCCCTACTTTGTTAGTATGTAAGCTTGAGCGTAACAGAGATTCCACCTACATTCCCTTGTCTCCTCTCTACCCTGTCGTCCTCTCGTTTCCTTGTAACCTTGTCACACCCTCGTCCTCCAAAACATTGCCTCCCACTCCATGTTTCCTCCTAACCCAGTCAAACCCTCACTTTCTACCCTGTCATCTCCTCGCTTCCCTATCACCCCAACTTTCCTTCCTATCATGTCATACCATTGTCTCCTTCCTATCTGGTCACCCAACGCACAGACACCTGGAACGTAAACAGCATAAGCGAAAATCCAGTCCACAATAACATCATACAGAACGAAAGGACAATTGCCCGTTCGAGACCGTTTGAACGACATTCTGAGTTCCAAAAAAAACTACTAAAAATTTATGTTTTCGCTATGTGCGCCACTTAAAAGTCTATTGTACTTCTAAAACTTGCTTGACTAACCTTTAACTAACTTCACGGACAAATATCATATAAAGATTCGCCGTAAAATGTCACTATATCTTCACTCTAGTTTTTCAATCGGCCAATCCATCTCTGTAAAACGGAAGTACATCATTCAATTCAATAGGATCTCCAGAGAGTCAGCCAATCGGATAGCTAATTGAAAATCTATGCTTAGAAGTGACGTACTTCCGTCTTACAAACCCGATCATCCTTGGTTCCTCCCTACACTGTTACCCCTAGTTTCCTCGCTACACTCTCACCACCTTTGCTCCGTCCTACCCTGTCAGCCCCTTGTTCCCTCCCTAGCCTGTCACCCTCTCATATCCTTTCTATTCTGTTACACTTCCTTTCGGTTTCCTTCATTTATCGCTTCCTACCCTGTTACCCTCTCACTTCCTACGATATCATATCATCACTTTTTCGCATCTTCCCGACCTTATCACCCTTCGCTTTCCCCATACTCCGTCACGCCCTCGTTTCCTACTCTCTGACCCCTCGTTTCCCTCTACCCTGCCATCCCTCGTTTCCTCCATACCTTATCCATCCCTCACATCCTTCCTACTCTGCCTTTGTTTCCTCCCTACACTGTCATCTCTTTTTCCTTCTTAACCTATCACTCCCTCGCATCCCCCTTATCCTTTCACCCCGTCACTTGTTTCCGTTCCTGCCCCGTTCCTGCCCCCTCCCCCACCCCCCCCCCTCACTTCCCACATTTCCTGTCAGTATCTGTATTCGCTCAATCAACCTATCAACCGCAGTAAACCGCAGGTTGGGTTCATGTGCATTTTTATTTCCCTTAAGTGAAAAAGAATTCGGCACATGATTCCATGATCAAGGCGATCAATTCTTCCAGTAGTATCAATGGGACTTTTATATTGCTTAACCTAATGAAAATTCAATGGTTATTCATATGGCACCGGTTTTATATCCTTACGATCGCTCCAATATATACTGCATATGTTCCCAGTCAGTCCCATAAATGCTGTACTATAAATGTATAAACAAAGCGGAGGTGCTAAGTAAGGAAAATGGTAAATCATGTCTCTCTTTTGCAAAATTACCACGTAAGGACTGGCATACAGTTTAGAAATACACATTGCGGTAAAGCGTTAAATGAAAAATATGTTACAAATAATTGATGTAAATTCTGACCCTCACTCTACTTGCATTCAGTGTCTTCATAATGTACTGTTATTCTATGGCTTGTGTTTCGGTCCTGAAACGACACAATGTTATTCCATTCTAAGGGGATGCCTGTTAACTAGAAATGTATCGGGATGTATATAATGCAGCACAATTGCACTTAAGATGCAGCTCTCTCGAAGTAGCAATTTATAAGGCAGATTAACGCCAAATTCTTCTATAAATCTTTTCATATAGTTCCACTGTCAGAAGTTTAAATTTATAAAAAGGAAGATGCCAATAGGAAGATCTGAAAAAAATGAGAATGAATCGCTAATCATTTAGATAGGCTACCACAATGACCTTCAAAATGGCAACTCATCTTACGGTAAAAGGCAAAATATGCGGGTAGAAGCATGTTTTATAGAGGAAATTTATCGCGAATATTTAACACATGCACGTGGTCTCTTCAAACGCTCTGTAGATGGAACGCAAGAAGAGTACCTGGTATCCAAAATGTATGATCATAGACGACGAACCTAAATTTCCGGCATTTAGAGACGGTCATAGAACCGAGCACGTACTTGTGGTATGATAACGAAAGAACATTGACATTCTGAAAGTGTCCCATGTTGACTATGTGAACTAAATCTTGTCAGGATAAACGAAAATTATCTGTATATCAATCAATATATGATATAGGCTGTTTTAAGGACGTTTATCGCGATCAAACAAAAACTGAAAAAACAACCAGAAAAATATATGTACAACAAAAGATTAAATATCTTGTAATTCAAACATAATCTATCTAAAAATATAATGATACTAAAGTTGTCTCTTTTTATATAAT